CTCCTGGTGGTTGACTGAATTATGAAGACCTCCACATCATGTGGTAAGTACAAAATAAAATAGACATGTCGGATGTAACTAAACGATTTGGACTTCGCAGATGACCTAGCTCTTCTGTCCCATACACATCAACAAATGCAGGTCAAAACAACCAATGTAGCAGTAGTCTCTGCATCACCAGGCCTCAGCATACACAAAGGAAAGAGCGAGATTCTCAAATACAACAGAGAACGCCAAGTCGATCACACTTGATGGAGAAACTCTGAAAGAAGTGGAAACACGTACCTGGGAAGCATCATTGATGAACAAGGAGGATCTCATGCAGATGTAAAGGTGAGGATTGGCAAACTAAGGACCGCATTTCTACATTTGAAGAACATATGGAACTCAAAACAACTTTCAACTAATTCCAAAGTCAGAATCTTCAATACGAACGTCAAAACAGTTAGTTCTACTGTACGGAACTGAAACGTGGAGAACTACCGTAACCATCATCAGGAGAGTATTAGTATTTCTAAACTGTTTTCAACGCAAGATACTGAACTTCTGTTGACCGTGAGAGAACAAACCAGATTCCATCTAGATAGGAAATTAGGAAAAGACATTGGAAGTGGATAGGATATACATTTCGGAAATCATCGAACTTCATCGCGAAGCAAGCGCTAATTTGAATCAACAGGAAATTATTTGATAATTCCTCCAACATTGACTTTTGTATTTAAATATATTAACAGTCAATTAGCATACCAATTCTAACGTCTAACAGCTCAAAGAAATGTGTGTGCAAAATAGAGGTGTTACTTTAAAATTAGTGATAATGACTAACGTAAATTTGATTTTAAGAAAGATTGTCTTATAGCATGTACTGTGTTTTTGTAGATGCATTCACATTTTCCACTTAAAAGATTACATTTGCGCATTACTACAACGAGCGACATCTCTCACAATAGGACTGAAGGCTCCGAATTTCAGTGAGTAACTAAATGATAATCATCTTCCAATTACGTGCGGAACTAATGTAGGGGAAAGAGACGTAGTGCCTTTGTGAAATACGAAAATCATACGTTAAATACATCATTCAAACTTCTTCCTTCAGTTGTCCTTTACATAATCCATGGTCCCTCTAGTTCTGTTTTATTCCGATTGCTTGCCATTTTTTTTACTGCTTTCTTTATTTGAATCATCTGCTGCTAAGCGTTTCACTTGCCGTTCCTTCTACATACTACTTATTTCTGTCCACATAAGAGGCTTACACCAAACCATGTTTGAATTGTGACTGGCATTGAAATTAAGGATTAAAGTTTCTTGGTATCTAGGTTTCGTCATCTGTGTATATCTGTAACTCGCTGTTCATTTTCTCACTGAAACGTCGACGTGGCACCCATCACTTTAAATACAAACGCATTATCGTTCAAGTAGCTAAATCAAGAGAACTATCAACTTATTCGATTTGTGTTGTATTTATTATTACGAATGGTAGTAAGTGTTTGTGTTTTTCAGTTCTTGATAGTCAGGAGTGACGTATGATTTATGTTTCACGAGGTTCGTACTTCAGTCTTATTTATTAACAATGAGAAAACACCTAAGCTTACTACTATTACTACTAGCATTAATAATAACAATGATAATGTTTACATTTTTATATTTTTCCCAATTTATAATGATCATAACTGTTGGAGAATTACAGATGGACAGAAAGAAAAAATATCCCATTTTGAGGACTACCTAAAACAAGATCTTGGAAATGGAAATCGAGCGTTCAATATTTTCACCTGATGTTTTTTGTTAGACTTGTTCATGAAAATATCTTGATAATAAACACACGTAACAGGGTATAATATTTCACAAAATTACTATTTAACAATGAATTTTTATGTGTTACTTAGTACTGTTTGCGAAAAACAGATTTTGTAGTCAAATTCAAGCAGTCTCTTGGTCATATTAGGCAAACCGTAGTGATGTGATGTATTGGATTTATATACTTGATAAATATGCAACTACTGGTGCTAACTAATTACTTGATAACTTTTTAAATATTAAATATAAAGACTTGGATACGTGTGAACAGAAGGAAAAGTGTTCATAATGAAGGTTCTTTGCTTAAAAAATTTAATATTGTTGTGGTAGATACTCGCTAGGAAAACAGGAATCAGTACAAAATAGAAATGACAAGTAAAAGTTAACAGAAGTAAGGCGATTGATTGGTTAGTTGATATTTAGGGGAGCAAATTTCTTGTTCGTTTAGGAGTTGAATATTCATACTTTTGTTTCGTAAGATAGACAATTAAGGCACAGTTCCATTTATAAACAACAAAAGTGAAAACCAAAGCCAGTTCATTATTATGTGTAGCGCTACTTGAATTAGAAAGGAAGGCCCAGGACAGAGTGGGTTGGAGAATGCTGGTCGGCGGTCTATGCTCTATTGGAGATAACAGGCGTAAGTTATTAATCTTGCTTAAAACAGCTGCTACGTTTTTGTATATTCACCAATTTCGTTCTTACAATCAACTTTTGACATTCTGCATTCTATGTTGCTTTGCTGTGATACAGAGAAACTTCTCAAGAAACCAAATTTGGACTACATCCTATGTCGCCTGGTCCTAGAAATAATACTATAAAGTGCTTATTAGGCAAAATTAACTAATATTAGTTATGAATACAATATTTCAAACTTTTTACCATTTTTTCTAAAATTAGAAGGGTCTAAAAACCGACATTCAATGTGATCCACTTTCGCTATGTTTTACAGTTTACACTGCAATACGCACCTTAGTAAATGTTGATAAACTAATGAAGCACGATCAAAATATTTAAATAAATGTGGGTGATATTATAAATAGTATATGTAATAAATTTTAAAAAAAGTGTCAAAGTAATCTTTTCAAATACAGCTTTCAGAATACCAAGATTCTACGATATATATGGTAAGCAGTTACATATGCTAAAGTTTAGGAGACAGATTATGAGTCGATGTAATTCCTACAGGATTTGTGACGAGAGTTGAGAAACTATTAGAAACGGTGAGATATTTCAAGTTTTAAAAAGTATGTGTTTGGATAAATATCTTAATGTGGTTCTTCCTAAATAGCAAAATGACTCAATGGTTAGTACACTACCTAAACGCTTTATCAGCTTTAATTATGATTTGACATATGCATGGCTTAACCATTTTTTTTAAAAATTCTTAAAGAGACAGAAATGTGCTATAATATATTTGGTCTAGAAATATCAAAATAGTAATTTAATGACTTATTGTCACCAGATTAAAGTAACCAGTATAACCCTCTGATCAGTAAAAGTGTTATTCGTGTTGACTTCATTAAATGGCATGAAAGAGACAGCTTTTTTAAAAAAGAAAAATATGGTTTACGGGGTCGGTCAACATTTCTTAAGAATTCCACATGTAGTTCAAAATCATTCGCATGCAGCCATGCAGAAAACTGTACGTCAAATATGATGTTTATATGCTTAATTCAAACTGTGTGATAGTCTTTCCACCCAGAAGTTATTTCAAAAATGGGATGTTTTTAGGACTAGGCAGAAAATCGAGAGATGAATTAAAATTATGTATTCAGAAACTATCAAAAAGTGTGTGCTGATACTGTACAGTTTTTTAAAAATTAAACGAAAGTGATATGTCGCATTGTACTATCATTTTACGTAGGGCGTAAAAATGATGTGATTAGTTAAATAACCAGTTTCTATGTACCCGAATAATGTCAAGCTACATCAAGCCGTATACTGTGATACTTGGGGGTGTTGGCCAAATTGAGATAACAGATATTCTCTTCAACCCGTTATCGGTGAAACTACTATGATAAATATAGGCCCCAATAATTCATATAAAGAAATAAATAGGTAACAAAATACTTTCATTTAATTAACAGAATTTGAGAAAAATGTGAGACAGAAATCACACCAAACTACTTGACAACCACTCACTATAGTCGTCAAATACTAAGACCCCATGAAAGCTTTTCAAAGCTTTTACGACGTTATGTGTAGGATTTCATTGTTGAAAATATGTAAATCTTGTTTATAACGTCAGATCCACGTATCAATGTAACACTTGAAAGCACATCAGAACTGATCTATTAAGTGGGAGCTTGATAAAAAAAGAAGTTTCAGTTTTCTATTAAAAAATTCCTGGGACAATATGAATTTCATCGACTTGTTTTTAATATACTTTGACGAGACATGGCATATCAGTACTAAATGTCTTAAGCAAAAACGCGGGTGATCGTATATTTTTTCTTTGTTTCCTGGGTAACTGTCCAGCTGAACAGATGTTAGCAAAAATTTTAAAATCCTGTTTAGTTGGGTCATATTTACAAGCTCATTTCTAACATTAATGAATTTTTTTTACATCAGTTGGAATTATCTGATAAGTGAATCTTCTTATATTTTTTATTGTGAACAATGTACCAACGTTTTCGCGTAATACGCTAGAGACTTGGCTGGAGATTTTATCTGAACTTTTATACTAAGTTAGGTGATGAATTCATGAGCTAAATCTTATTATTTGGTTTATAGGATCAACAAGAACATGGGTATTGGATTTCTCATATAAATGTAGACAAATTACGTGTCATGCAAATTACTGATAGATAGTTAGACCGGTTGGATATCTACCAATCTTTTTTATTTGATTAGGTGTGCTAATGTCGTTTAACATCAACTTTAGTCTTCTACCCGATTTTTTATGATTACTAATGAGTCATTGTTTCTCTTTACTCTTCATAAGAAAAATGTTGATATACTAATGAGCCTTAGAATAGCGAAATTAACCTTTTTCAGAGTAAAAAATCGCATTTCAAAATCAGAATTTCTAGAAACTGCTGCCAAGTTAATTTTAAGATTGTTCCATACGGAATAAGCAATAAAAATGGTTAACGTAATAGGTAAAGCTACATTAAACTGTTAATAAGACGAGTGACAGAATGTTTCATTTACCAAGGAATGATAGAAAATACGATGCTACTACAAAACAGAAGACCCACCATTCATTGTAAAGCTATGAACAAACATGTTAGCGGAAACACGTAGTTATTTAGTAATAAGCGCTTTTAACGATTGTTTATAACACTGATCCAAGTTTCAGTTGTGGGTACTTCCAGTCTTCAGTAATAAGGATAGTAGGTTGATGAACCTGTGTTAATCCTGACAGATTTCCTTCCAGTGAAGGTCCAGCTTCTTCTTGAAAATGTTCACTGATGGTGCTGATACCACTTGTTCTGGTAAGGCGTTCCAGTCATTGACCACTCGATGAGAAAAACGGGACCCCACCTTTAGTTTATTAGATCGCGGTTTCAGAACCATTTTGCTATGACCCCGGAGATTATTAGTGCTGGAGGAAGCAAAAAGATAAGACATATTAACACCCAGATCATAATTAAAGATACGAAATGCCAGTATAAGGTCACCTTGCGTCCTACGATAAGGTAAGGAGAAAAGATTTAGACGTTTTAAACGCTCATCGTAAGGGAGTTTAGAAAGACCCTTTACTAATTTTGTCCCTACACGCTGGACACGCTCAAGCGATTTGGTATCCTTTATCAGACAAGGGCTAGCTGCTTGGATACAGTATTCTAAGTGTGTCAGAGCTATTGTATTTAACATGAATAGATTTACCATTAAAGACAAATCGCTTTTCGAGACTTTTATCTCAAGTCATTGTCAAGTTGACACGTTTCAATTTTTTCAGTACGCATTTCTCTAAAGAGTGAACTTGTGATTGAAAAAGGTTACTGGCAAGACCGATACTCATTGCTTAGTTTCGGTCTTATATTCGTTGATCTCTCGACAAAAAGGTGAAATTGTGTCTTGAGCTTGTCCAGTTTTGATATATATACTTCTGGAGTCAGGATTGAAGAATTATATTCGTAGAAGTAAGTGAGTGATTAAATATGTGGACGACCATGCCATTATTCGGATGGTGGGTCGCTTACACGAAATTACCTTAAGTACTATGACAGTTTGACTAAAATGGATCTCATCATCATAATCTCTTCTCGTGGAATATGCAAAGTCCAGTTGCGAACCTCCTCTCATTGACAGTGGAGATTATCATGACTGTTATTTAGTGGTACATTGTTGTTGGAGATTAGTCAGATCAACGGACTGTTGAAAAGTCAGCTACTTTATCCAATTCCACTTGGAACAACAATCTATCACTATCATCGCGTACTGTTTTCGAAAATTTCAGTGTCCGGAAGACCTAAACACTTTCGGAAATTTGCTAACTTGTAAAGCCTGCCAAGATGATACCCTAGGTTAAATTAAGCTTTGTGAGTTTACATTCAGCTGATGTTGCGTTCACTCTTACAATGTAGTTTAGCTTCGAGTGAAGCCCTTTTATCTCATTTATTGTTGTTTTGTAATTTTTTTAGTTAGAAAATTCCTGTGCCACACTGTCGAATTGCACACACCATCAATGGATTCAGCATCAATATTAGGACCGTAATGTTGTGTTGCTACACGCTACTTCCTTGCAAGAAGGTGGATCACCAGGTAAGAGCGGGCAATATAAAAACTATTAATTTAAAGGTTGACGGAGCTTGTGACTTCACGTGATTAGGTAGCATCTCAGGAATGAAATTTGTCAAAAATTTCGCCACCTACTCATTCTACTGTTGTGTCTTTAGTTATGTCTTATGTTTTTTCTGGCGTCGAAGAAATTAAGAGCTCCATCCCAAAGAGACTTAAAGGTCCTTCTCAACCCCAAAATCGTGTTTTATTACATGGTCCCTTCTACACGAGAGAAAAATGATACCTTACATCAGGCAGTCACGAGTGAAAGTGACATTGTTAGGCTTCTAAACGTTCGAGTGATCATTCATAGCTCATCAAAGACAGTCTCGGCTTAAGCACAGTCGTATAATAGACGACCCTAGTATATACTGCTCGTGACTCCCTAAAGCCCAGGCATGATCTCAGAACATAAGAAGCTGATATGCACGATTACAATCTTCACGACAGACAGATGGAATGACCTGTACATCAGCAGCCTGTAGTTATTCTACCAGAATTCGCTTGGGTTAAGGAGTCTGTAATTCATTCCGGCCTATGTTACTAACCCTTTCCCCTAAACAGAGCAGTTTACTGGAGATGCATATTTATAGTATACTTCGTTATTAGTATGGCTCCAATAATAGACCTGATCCCAAAATTCTAGATGTCGTGCTGTAACTGCCTAGTCTATAAGATCTTACGTGGAAGTCACATTATCGTCTACACTGGCTCATATTATCGTAATCATCACCAATATATGAATGGAGAACACATTACGGCTGGAGATAGAACAATATATTTAAGATGAACAAGTGTTGTTACATAGAATGAACACGCCTGCAAGACTGAGCTATGACATCCGAAGAATCGAGTTCTGAACAAAATATTACCGCATTCACCATTATTGATCTTCTCTTAGCGATACATGTCGAAAGTCTATTTTCCCAGTTTTCTCATGTTTAGCTTTAGGGATTATGTGCTTAGGATCCAATGTTACTACAAAAAATCTATTTCCCATAGCAAATCTGCAAGCTATAGTCGATGATAATGGCAATATCTTTACTATGTTGCGGTACTGGGACAGTAGCTCTTCTCATATAATTGACCTGTTGCACGTATCTTCTGAAACATTACCAAACTAGTCATGAAACGTTTTCTAGAAAAGTTCTAAAACAGTGTTATTAGCCTATACTTATCCGAGGTTTTACCAGGCTTCTCAGTTATATAGACAATACGGGATGTGTTCCAGCTGTAAAAAGTATAAATAACTTTTCCGAAAAACTACGCAAAATACATTTGCAACCTAAACAATTCTGTGCAGATAACGCTTTCAATTGTGTGAAAGTTCATACGGCTTCGATGGCAAGTCCTACCCTAACTGTGACATAGTGGCCTCAGAGCCAATCTTGAGCTGTAAAATGAATTTTCGGTCAGCCTGATGGTACAGCTTTCTACATGCTTTCCAACAGCTATTCCAGACCAGGTTGGAGTATGGAAACATAGTAATCGTACCGTCACTAAACTGACGTCGAGTTCACAAAACTTGTTTACCAACTAATCTTGATCGCTTTTTCGAGATGGCAAGCTCATTCTGTTTTGACAGTGTCCATACAGATAAAATAGAAATTTGTTACCGAAACGATTCATCCAAATATTCATCAACAAGTAATTTGATCTTTTCTTTTATTCAACCGGTCTACTTCACATGAATCGTTATTATGACTGAAATCAATATGAGTTATGTTTAGCATTACAATTATGTACTTGATGATTCTCATTTTGTTAGCAATTTCGATGTTTACGAAAAAACTTTTCAACCTTCATTTTGCACTTTTATTCCTATTTTTACTTCACATAGAAACATTTCAACACTGAATATCATTCATTAATAACTCATCTTGCACATACATACATACACACACAATTCATCCAGTCTCCTTTAATTCACATCGTTGAACTTTTCACTTGATTCTCATTCAACTGACTCATATTATCCTGTTTACAAAAAAATTCGACATCGAAATATGATTGGATTAAAAAGTAGTAGAGATTTTGATATGATTGTTAAAAAAACACTATATATTTCTTTGATGATTTTGATTATTTCTCTGAAGGAGTCCAGACAAGTTAGCTGGACGAAACGTTGGAATTATTTATATTTCAATCGATGAGACTATTTCAAATATAATTTTTTCACATATAATGAATTCTCTATACTTGGCGCCCAATTATTGTCAAACTATTCGTTCTAACCTTGACGAATATTCGTATAGATTTATTCAGATACGAAATCAAAGGAGAGAGAAAGTTTATGGAAAGGGCCAACTGCCCATGGCCTAGTTTTATAGTGCCCATTCAATAATCTGCATTAGACGCTTCTGACCTTACCAATATTCGGCAAACAATTCAACGTCTGGCGATCAATTATCCAGTTTATTAACATTTCAGCTCGAGCATTGACGTAGTTTAGGCCCATCTAAGTTCCACTGGCGCCAACCGTTTGCTTTTTTTTAAATACCGAAATTGAGAATTCCTTGGAAAATATTTGATGACGGATCACGCGATAAATTCGCATTATTGAGTTCAAAACATACGGCAGTAGCGTGAAAGCACAACCTGCATTCAGTAGGATATAGGGGACTTATGAACGATTTTATAATGATCCACAATGTTCTGCACACTTTTCGATGTCCTCTTGAGGACTTATTCAAATTTACTCCCCAACACTAGGGAGGAACAGTAGGAAGTTGAAAATGTAATACAGTGGATTAAACCGTAGGAATACGTTTTACCACTATCCAAATTATCTAACGTCCAAATCGGTCTAAACAACTTATCCGAAGCCATTCTCGAATAAACTTGATTAATAAGCGCAGGCATATAATGCTTAATAACGCTGTTACCCGCGTCGTCTTCAGACGGTTATCTACTTTATGAATGGGAAACATGTCCGTTAAGAGAAGCGGATATTCATGGGTTACTAGTGTTGAATTGTAGGTGTCTTTGAAGCATTTCCCGTGTATTTCAGGACCACCGAGTAGGCAGTGCCTGGGTTAAGAATAGGGTACTAGATAAGGATGGCAAATTAATTGATGAGGTAATAAATCTTCACCACCTGAGGTGTTTTTGGCACGTGTTGCCGATTTACATAAGTACAGGTTCTAAGTTCTGACAGACAGACTAAGAGAGTGTAAAAGCCAAGGTTCGAACCACCGCCCATGATTAGTAATAGTGGAGCCTGGGTCCGCTACTCATAGCCTTGTGTCCTCGATAGACATTTCTTCTGGCCACTATTTACAACGGGCCACACACTTTAACAGGTAAGAGTATCCATTCGAGTGCGGTTAGGATTCTATCAAATATAATTGGATCCAACCGAAACGAAAGTAGGGAGTAGTGAAAGGGCTTAAGGAGGATTATTGTTTCCGATCACCTTTATGGCAGCTAACACGAGAGCGTACACACTTACTCACTTCTTCGCTCATACCAGGCCAGAA